GGCTTCCACTCAGTGTCACAAACTTATCCTCCTAACCTCCTGAGTTTTCTTAGGCCAAAAAAAAGTCTCACCCTAACCTTTTGTTAGCTCTGCCACTCCAAAATTAGTTTTGAAGCATTTTTTTAAAAAGTTGTTTGGGGGCAGCTAGGTGGTACAGTGGATAGAGCTCCAGCTTTGGAGTCAGGAGGATCTGAGTTCAAATCCAGCCTCAGATACTTGATGCTTACCTAGCTGTGTGACCTTGGGCAAGTCACTTGACCCCAACTGACTCACCAAAAAAGCAAAAAAAAAAAGTTGTTTGGAAGGCAATGTTCAGAGAGTTCAGTTGGGTTGCCTCTAATCCACCATCTTGGCTCCCATTTAAATAAGATTCTGCCTTCATGAAGGTACACCAGTGTTAACAGTCTAGCAGGTGTGCATGAAATTCCAAGATCTTGCATTTCATATGAGGAACACTGATGCAAATGACAGCTATCATTAACAAACTGCCATTTGTATTAGTGCTCTTCCTGTCATATTCCTTTCATCTCCTTCTAATCATGAAAATCTGAATCAACCCTGACTATCCTCTCTAATATCAGGTATGCTCTCACTAATGTCCTCTCTGCCCTCCCCCAAATACACTGAGCCAAGATCAGGAATAAGCAGACTCTTTGTTCCCTACTGTGACTTCTAAAACTCTCTTCCTGCCACCATCACTGATTCATCTTCCCTCCTTCACCGTTTCACCCTGTCCAGATATATCACCCAATCTGATCCTGGTGGCAGTGATCCACCAGCCCCTGGGTAATTCTTCTTCCTTGAGAATTTAATGTCTATCTCATGGTCTTCCTTTGCAATCCTCATACTTGGGGATTCCAATGCACATGTTGATATCCCCTCAGACACTTTTAAAAACTCTCCATTTCCCCAACTTCCTCAACTCTCATGACTTGCACCATCATGCAAATTCAAAACACAGGGACAGTCATTCTCTTGGTTACATTATCACCCACAAATTTTTCATGTCCATAATCCAGAACTCTAAAATTCCTCTTTCTGAACAAAACTTACTGTTTTTCACTGCGCCTTACCATATATTCATCCTCACCACAACTTCTAAGCATTCTACCTCTCTTCCTGAATCCCTTGGTCTTTCAACCCTGCTCTGGCCCCACTTTCCTCTTTTTGACAGCTCTTTTAATATACTGATCCCTTAAGCTGACAACTGCTCATCCCCTTCCACACCCCAAACCTGGAAACCTCCCTCTACCATCTGCCTTCTCTGTTCTTATTTGTGTGGTGTTGAATAGTACTAGAAGAAGGCACACAACCTTGTTCCCTGAATCATTTAATCTCAATGGCTACTCAACAACCCTTTCTATTCTCCCTGAATGTAGAGGGGCCACCCCTTCACTCATTGCTTAAAGAGGACTGTTCACTGACTGGGCATTGCTTCACTCAAAGTGAGAACCTGAAAAGACCTTAGCTTAAAAGGGCCAACATCTCCCACTGCATCCTGGGCCACCTCCAGTCGTCCTGATCCATATCTGGCCACTAGACCCAGATGGCTCTGTTGGAGAAAATGAGGCTGGTAACTTTGCACAGCCCTCCCTCACTCAAATCAAAGTCAATTGCAAGTAAAGTCATCATCTCCCTGATGTCATGGTCCTCTTCAAGAACAAAGGATTAACCACAACCACAACCAAAACCATGCACAATCACCCTTAATCATATTTCCCATAACATCTTTAAACTTTCTTATCTCTCCTCAAGCCATGAACAACATCCACTACTCACTGTTCTTAGTAGAGTGCTTTATACTCTCCCATTCCTGCCAAAAACTGGGACCACTTATCTTGAGCTCCCTCTTCTAAATATAAAAATCATCTCAATATGATTAATAATTTTTAAGTAACCTAATTGCCATGATCTTCTAATTGCTAAATAACGTACTCTTTTTTCAATCCTCATCTTTCTGTTGCTTTTGACATTGCTGACCACCCTCTCTTCCTGGATTCTCTCTTCTCTTTGGGTTTTCATGACACTTTTCTCTCCTGGTTCTCCTCCTACCTATCAGACCCCTCATTCCAAGTCTCTTTTCCTAGATCATCATTCATCTCACACCCACTTCCTGTGGGTACACTACAGTTTTGTCCTAGATCCTCTCTTTTGTATCTACACTCTCTTGGTAAGCTCATTAACTCCTATGCTTTTAACTCACCTCTGCAGATTACATACTGCCCCAGTATTCCTTGGAGGCATCAAATGCCTACTGGACACTGCAAACTAGACATGTGGGAGACACACCTCAAACTCAATATATTCAATATCAAACTCATTATATTTCCTCCTCATTCCTAAAACCTCCTCTTCCAAAATTTCCTATTTCTATCAAGAGCACCTATATGCTTCTAGTCCACCACATTCATAAGCTTATTCATATCCTAGACTCTTCACTTCTCTCCTCCCATATATCCAACCATTTGCCAGATCAAACCACTCCTTCTTAACATCTTTCATATCTGACCCCTTCTCTCCATTCACACATCTGCCACCTTATTTCAGGATCCCCATCACCTAGGTTGTTGCAACAGCCTTCCAATTGGTCTCTCTGACTGCAAACTCTAGTTTACCCCTATAAATTGTTGCTAAAGTCATTTTCCTCAAGCACAGTTTCAGCTTGTTAGTTTCCTACTCAATGAACTCCAGTGGCTTCCCATTGCATCTAGGTAAAATATAAACTCCCCACAGCCCCAACTTTGCAGGCTTGTTAGACATGACTCTCCCTCTTGTACTCTTTGATTGAGTCAAAGCAGCCTCTTCTCTTTTCTTTACACTTGATACCCCATCTTCATCTCAGTGTCTTGGCACTGGTTCTAATTTCATAAAATGTATTCTCTCCTTACTTCCAATTCACAGAGTCATTCTATTCCTTTAAGATGCAGTTCAAGGACCATTTTCTGGATGAAGTCTTTTCTATTCAAATCCTAGTGTCCTCCCTCCCACAATATCTTATAAATAACTACTTTGTACATATTTATATTACTCACTTCATATGGATGCTGCATGTATCTATATGTATAACATGTTTCCTTATTGAAATTTGAGTTCCTTGAAAGCAGGAATTGTTTCATTCTTTGTACTTGTATCTCTAAGATCTAGTACACAGTAAATGCTTTAAAAATGCTTGGTGAAGTGAAGATAATTCTAGTTTACATACCATCCCAGGCAAAACTGTGTAAGGGGGTCTGGCAAAGAGTTCAGTACATATATAGTAGATACCTAAGAAACACTAATGAAATTGCACTGATGATCTTGCACAAAGTGGGACTTAATAAACATAACCAATAGATTTTTATCATCTTGCACAAGGAGAATATCCTTTGGTTTGTTTATAAGGAGGCCACCTGATGAAGGAGCAGAGGGTCCTTATAAACCCTAGATCCTAAGAGTAGGTATGACCTGTTGTTACTGCTCATAAGGCTCTTTTTTTAAAGGCAATTAGGGTTAAGCGACTTGCCCAGGGTCACAGAGCTAGAAGGCTCTTGATAGATAGACAGGCAGTTATATGTGAGCTACAGATACATATATTTATGGGGACAGGGAAAAGAAACAAGGGCGACAAGAAAGAGACACAGAAGCTATATATTAATAATATTAAATATGATGTTTATATTATATTACATATAATATATATTATATATAATATGTACATATAATACATACATTTTAAGTATAGCTACTCTATAAAGGAGATGAGGGACCCTTCTAGCTCTAAACTCCATGTTCCCATGTATAGGTACAATCTGTTATATTTCTAAGCTGAGCCTGCACATTAGCAGCTAGAAAACAATAGGTTTATTAAGATGAAATAAATGCATTACTTTAAAAAAAATAAGAAATCAAGTGAATGAGGAGCTGACTACCAAATTTTGCATATGAAGCTGTGGGCTTTCGGTAGTCTACGCAACCACATTCATTGAGAAACTACATTTGGGCTGAAGGAAATTCCACTAAGACTAAAACAATATGTTTATGATTGAACACATTACAGAGAAAAACTGAAGAAAAAATAGTGGTAGACCCTCTGGTAAATTTCTGTGCCATAAATCAGTGCCTCAGCCTGACCTCCTTCAAGATCTTCCATGTCACAACCATACCCAACACTCATTTTTTGTTTTAAATCAAAAGCATCATTATTATATGTCTGGGTAACTATCTCTAGCTATGTGTCATAAGGTAGAATTGAGTTATCATTAAGAACATTATTATTAAATTTGGATCAAGCAGGACCAGTGGATAGAAATTAGTTGGCAGAAGATTTTGGCTCCATGTAAGAAGGAAATTTCCAATAATTCTAAAACCTATGATTCTATGAAAGAGAGCTCTCATCCCCAAGTGAAATGCCATGCATCATAAGTCAGTGAGTTCCCCATCACCTCAAGTATTCAATCAGAAGTATGATGACCACTTTTCCAAGACATTTACCAAGAAGCAGGAGACTATACCTAGATTATTTCTAAGGTTTCTTTCAGTGCCAAGATTCTATGATTTTCCAAAGACAGAAGGTACAAACAGTGGTTATCTGAGGAGAGCAGCGCCCCCCAACCATAACTTTCAAGAGACTTGAATAACAATTGACAATGACATACTGATTTAAGACAAGCAAAGCATTTTAAATATTTCATCTCTTTGGTTCCTCACAGACAACCATGTGAAAAAATTACAGGCAGAATTATCCAATTTTGCAGGGGAGGAAACAAGCTCAGATAGGTTAAGTGACTTGACTAGAGTTGCACACCAAGTGAACGTAAGAGGGAAGATTTGAACCCAGGTTTCTCCTGGCTCTGAGTCCAGTGTTCTTTTGTGTACATCCCACCTGCTATTTTGGAAAAAAAAATTGACATCAATACCCATTTCTTTTGATTTTTAAGGTATTTAAACATGCTTCAGAGCCAGGGGCACCAACTCCATAGAAGCATAAACATAAAGGAAGAGCTGCACATTATCTTACTTGCCTCATTATCAAGGAAACCACAAAGAGTGATGTGGCAAAGCCGCGCCTACGACAGTCACCATTCTTCTTCTGTCTCTGGTGCATCTCCCCTCCACAGTTGTTGCAGCAACGGCACATGCAGAAGCACAGCCCAACAAGGGGCAGAAGCACAACAAACAGCAATCCCAGGCCAGCCAACACAATAAAGCCGATTTCATAGTGGGCAATCTAGCAGTCAAACAGAAGGAACAGGAGGGGTTAGGGCATGCCTCACGATTCTCATTTCATACACCACCACTTGATCATTCCATGCGTGATTCTTTTTTTTTCTCCCCAAAACCATAAGAGAGCAGAGAAATGAGTCATCTGTAAGATGGCAAAGGGAACAAAGGAAGCCGGAACTTTTCTTGGTGACTTCTGCTCCCTCTGAACTTAGTAGAGGTCAGAATGCACAACTCCAAATTCAAAGCAAACAATGGTCTGACTTTAGCATATCAGGTGAGGATTTGTCTTATTTTTGAGGCTTCCTGAGGTGCTTTGTTTAACACAATTAAAGGAAAACATTGATTCCCACAATGGGTATATATTAATGTATTAATACATTAATTAATTAACACACCCACACATATATGTATTAAACCAAGGCATGGTGCAAATGGATTCAAAAAAGGAATTAGAGGATTTTTAAATGACAAATCCAAAACTGGCTACTCAGAGAGGTTAGAACACAACTCATTGAGAAAACTGATGAACTCCAAGTGAAATTGAAGCATATTTTCTCACTTTTTCTTCCTTTTTTGCAGCATAGCTAATATAGAAATATATTTTGCATGACTTCACATGTATAATGGGCATCATTATTGCTTGCCTTCTCAATGGGTGGAGGAGGGAGAGAATTTGGAACCAAAAGTAATTTTTTTAATGTTTAATTAAAAAAAAAGATCTCATTTTTAATGTTGACAGCAGGGAATATAATCATCTCCTCCTTCCCTTCTTCTACAGTATACTTCTCAGGGTTTCTGCTGACAACAATATCCCGGAGAGCAGAGACCACAGGTAATGACCCAATATGGCTGCTCACTACTTTCCTAAGAGCCAAGATGACTTTGGTACATAATTAAGTGTCCCAATAATATCTTCTCTGGGCCCAGACTCATCTTGCCTTAAACCTAGAGAATAGGATTCCAAAATATAGCATGAAAAGAAAGTAACTAGATTCAGAAAATTCATCTTATTCCTGGAGTCCATGCATACAATTACTTATATTTGCTCAAAGCAATACATTTACATAAGAGAAACTAGGAACTCTGCAGTATACATATGATGGACAATTCAATATAACAATGCTTTCTGCAGCAAGGAAAAGAAAAATGAGGCGGGTTTTTGTGTGAGTTTTTCGTTGTTTTTTTTTTCTGATAAAGCCCTCTATTAGAAACCAGTCATTACGTGTGTGTGTGTGTGTCTGTGTGTGTGTGTACACACAGACACACACATATATTTTTCACTTTATTCCAGTGGCTCTTTAAAATGCTGTTATTTCTTAATACACTGAAAAACTTGAACTTTACAAGGAACCATTTATTTCTAATACTGCATGTATGACAAAAATCTACATATAAAAATACATACATATATACATACATAGATGAATTCACAAAATCCTAAAATGAAAAGAAAGGTTTAGGCATGGTTTAGACATTGCAGAAGATATCAAGGTAAAATAGAAACCATGCAGATCTCATTGAAATCATCACAACAAAGACAATATCATGGGACATCTTGGCAAAAGTATCACCATTGGCTGCTTTTAGTTAAAGTACAACACAGAATAATGATAATAGTGATAGGGTCAATTACCTTTAGGGTCAAGACAACAAATTCTGGCTGTGGAAGCCAAAGCAGATGAAGCGTGCAGCAGAAAAAACAAAACAAAACACAAATGAAAAATCATGGGAATAGTTAATGCCTAACTAAAACTAAGTTATCTTGAACAGAAGGTATAATTGATAGACACAAAAAAGAGGGAAGCAGAACAATACAATGCCTTTTTCTCAATTGGGGGGGCCTTGTTCTCCTCCACTAAAACCCAATTCTAATTTCTCATCACTGTGTGGAGTTTTACATACTGAGCTCTCAAAAACTTTATCAGCAGACAACTCAGGCCCTTCAGGGAATTCCCAAGCAGATAGGCTTCCAGAATGGGCCTAGCAAGGGAAGGTTATACAAGTACCAGCCTTACAAAGTTCAGAAAGTCATCACTAGAAAACTGGTCACCAGGTAATGAATTTTTTTGGCCGTGGTAACTCATAAAATCATGTTAAAGGTATGGAATAGGGTGCAATATATGTCAGAAGACACGGAGCCCACAATAATGAAGTTACAAATCTTTAAAAGTATTGGTACTTCTGGTATTTGTATTTAGGTTTTAATTTTTCTTAATGCTATCAATAAGTGATTTTCTGCCACAGGCTAGATTGTGCAGGTATGATTGTTATGGACTCTAAATCAAGACTTCTTAGTCTTATTTTGTGTTGTGTGTACCAAGCTGGGAGTCTGGTGAAGCCTATGGGCAATTTCTCAGAATAATGTTTTTATTACAATACATAAAATTAATGTTTTTACATACAACACATAAAATGATGATGAAAAGCAATTATATAGAAATAAAGGTATACTTTTTTTAAAATCCAAATTCATGGACACCCCTGAAATCTATCCACAGATTCTTAGGAGTCTGTAGACTCCATCATCATCAGCAAGGATTTATTAAACACTTACCATGTATCAGGCATTGCGTTAAGGGTTGAGACACAAACAAAGAAAAACACAATTTCTGCCCTCAAGGAACTAACTTTCTAATAAGGGAAGGAAACTTGGAAAAACTACAAACATACAAGATATATACAACATAAATGGGAGGTATTCTCAAAGGAAAGGTGCCTTGAAGAAGCTGGGATCTGAGTTAAGTCCTGAAGAAAGCCAGGGAGCAGGGGTGAAGAGGAAGAGCGTTCCAAGGATGGGGGACAGCTAGTGAAAAGCAAGAAGACAGGAGATGGGGATGCCACACGCTTGGAACACAAAGAACCAATTAAAACTCCCTCATCTAAATCCTTCTTCAGTAGTACTTCATGCAAACATGACCATGAGCAGTGAGAATATTCCCTCTCACCAATTTGGATGGCAAGTCCTCTAAGACACAGTAGATGTTCTATGAGAGTTGCTGTAACATAAAAATTCAGCACTCTGTAACAGACCTGGTGGGAAAAAATCAGTCCAGACTTCTCCAGCCTGGCGGGACCTGTCAGAGCTTGTGCCTTGGTAGAACTTTTGAGAATCTAGGATCATCTCCACCTCAGGATATATGGCATTAATATCTTGTCAAAAATAGAAGAACCTTTTACCACCCTCAATTTTCTATTCCTCTGAAAAAGTAGGACATGATGGGGGCAGAGGGCAGGGGGTCTTAGGAGAGGATCTTTAGGGGCTAGAAAGAGAAATAAAAAGTAGATATGCTAAAACTCTTCACTTTGTTCTTAGCCCAGCCAAGTGATAATGGCAACATAGAAGCCAAAAACATGAGGTGAAGGGGAGAGCGAGGAACACCTGACTATGTTTTCCCCAGGCTTCAGGCCTTAATAGATTGGAAAGGGCAATGTTTGCCATTATACTGAAACTTGGTTAAGATATCTAAACTCCTGGTATGTTCTCATTTGAATAACAGGATTGAGCGCTGGGCCATGGAATTAGGGAAATGCCAGAAGGCCAACAAATCAAGTCATGAAATCAGGTCATATCTCCCGGGATGGATGACAGCATGGCCTACAAGTCCCCCAGGCCTTCTGTATACTAGCATAGAGGGCTTGTTATGTCCAGTTTCCAGGTATCACAAAGTCTGCTCTAGCCACATAAAAGCTTTCAAAAGAAAGCCTAAAGCTTGAAAATAGCATCTGCAAACAATAGCTACATCTTAGCAAAACAAGCTGTTTTTATCAACTGAGCCAAACAACCTCCTTTTGAGGTTTTTTTATTTTTGTTTGCTTGTTTTTAAAGGTGAACTGCTTATGTCATAGAAAAGAACAATAGAAACTCTGAGGCAGTGGTCTGATTTGGGGCTTCTCCTTTAGGGTTTATGGACGCAACGCCCTGAAGCTGGGAATCATAACTTGAGATTCCTTTGATTCCTCCATAGCACCAAAAGCAATGCTGGGTCAAGCACACACTGGGCACTCAATAATTGCTACAAAGGCTAGCAATTCCAAAAGTCTATTCACTTAATAAACATTTCCTGAGGTACCCATCAGTCTGAGTGCACGTAAGATTGTGCACATTCTTTGTCCTTTATGGAAACCCTGAATATATTGTTCTCAGTGGAAGGTAGGTGTATGTCAAAGGCCAGGATGGATTATCATCACCCGAGACAGAAAGAATAATTAAGCTGATACAAATAATCAATCCTTAGAAACCCAATTACAATTGTGAGGAATATTAAAGAAGCACGTCATAGTCATATCAAAGTAAAACAAAAGGGCCTAATTAAAGGCAGTGGTAGAAAATTCAAAGAATGAACCTGGTTCAAGAAGAAACTTCAGGAAAGAAAGAGTAACAAAGCAGTTAAATGAACAAGGAATATTTAAGTATTAAACACAGGTCCAGGTGAAAAATAATAAGGTGAACAGATAGACGATCAGTGGAAATAGACCATGGTAGGGTTTAACTTGACCACACAAAGCTCTTATACTCAGTGATGAATTGGGAATTAAGGCAACTCAGGATTCTGGATGAAAATGATCGACAGAATGAAAATGAAGAAGAGGTCAGCATTCACCTTGGACCTGATTCATTCCTAATTTAGTCACACAGGCTAAAGGACAGTTATCTGAGGATTTGCCAACAAAATCCAAAAGATGATATACTTCATTACTGTAACCTATCCAGGGTGTGACCACAAGGTAATGATGCGGAATTTGTAAAAAGAAAAACCAAAACTTTTGCAGTCAAGTGAGTGCTGTCCCTGCCTTACGAGCTGTTGTTTAATAATTTCAGTCATGTCTGACTCTTGGGAACCCCATTTGGGGTTTTCTTGGCAGAGATACTAGAGTGGTTTTCCGTTTCCTTCTCCGGCTCATTTTATAGATGAAGAAACTGAGGTAAATGGAGTTAAGTGACTTGTCCAGGGTCACATAGCTAGTAAATGTCTGAAGCCAGATTTGAACTTACAAAGATGAGTCTTCCTAACTCCAGGCCCAGTGCTCTACCCACTGTCCCACCTAGCTGCCCTACTAATACAGATCTTCAATTCTACTACAATTTAGAACCTTAGAGAGTTACTATGACTGTGAGGGGTTAATTAACTGCTCAGGGCCACACTGCCAGCATGTGTCAGAGGACAGACTTGAACCTAGGGCCTCCTGAATCTGAGGGTGGATATCTATTCAAGATATGACTTTGCCTATCTTACAACCATAATATTTTAATGAGGGGCAGTTTCTTAGATGGAGCCAGGTGGCCCTTTTGTGATCAAGATTACAAGTCAGAGAGATGTCTCTCTTCTCCCTTAAAAATGTGACTTTCTTAAAACCTCTATGGCCTCAAAGAGTCTTTAAAGTTTCTTAAGCATGAATACAGAATGAATCACCCTTGGAGGACAACAAACCCTCCTTGATCCATAAGCTGCAACAAGTTAATTAGATTATTTGTGACAGGAACAGTACAATAAAGGTAATAAGATACAAGGTCAAGTGGAAAGGACTCAAGTCACCCCAGGTGGGATTGGGGGTGGGGATGGAGGGGAAGGAAGGGTTTACCTATTATTTTGCTATGAACACAGCCCTCAAAGAGCCCTTGCCCCTATAATCCAGGGCAGAAGGAAAATTACTTGAAAGAAAATATAAGCCACATTTAGGAATGCTGGGTTTTTCATTAATTCATGTAGCTTCAGATGCAATAATTAGTCTTTATTCCAGAAGACTGCTAATGACATATATTTACCTTCTATTGCTAGAAGGCCTCAGAATATAAAAACAGAAAATGTGTCAGTTTATTTTCTTCAAGCGAGTTGTATGAGGGAAGGCTATTTGGAAGGACAGTGATGTTTTTTAAGTACCAATATTACATTATGTGAATGTATGTTATCATGAATGCCACCATGGTGTAGTGGATGGAGATGGATACCAAAGTCAGGAAGACCTGGAATCACATACTACCTCTGACACATTATGGCTGTGTGACTCTGAGTCAGTCACTTAACCTCACAATGCTCTAGGTAACTCTGGGAGGCTATAAATTGGAGAGAAGGTGAATGACTGCATTGGCAGAAGGAAATTTTTTCTTCTGGGTGAGTTCCCTCTCCTCAAGAAACCACAGCACCAGTCCCTAACCCAATCCTTATGTTGTCACAGGTTCCAGAAATATAAGGAACCATAGGGTACGTCTTCTCCAACCTCATTTTACAGTTGAGGAAACTGAGGACCAGGAAGGGAAGGGACTTGCCCAAGGGGTTCAAACTTAGGCTTTCTGACTCTAAATCTGGCCTTCTACACCAGACCACACTTGGGTAATACTAATAGACATTCCCCTAATGAAGTGAAGTCTTCTTTTGATCCTACCCATGGAGTTTTCTGGCAAATGATCTAGTTCTATGCCTTCTCTCAAGTTCAGATGCTTTGCCTCTAACATACCCAGCCTTACTGCTGTTTCTGATCCATTTTGGGGTGGACTCAGAAGGAGCCAGGCACTGGGTCTCCTTGAAGGCAAGCACAGCCCCAGCTCTACCACACAACCAAGTGCATCACATCTTTCTAGTTCAGGAGTTAATTGCTGTCCTTTCCTAAAATCTTGGCCCCAAGGCTCATCAGGGCCATTTCCACGGTTTTAGAACTATCTCCTAGAGAGAGATTCTTAAGTTAACTTAGGGCCATGAATTTGCTTTAAAAAATGTTTTGATTACTGCATTTCATAATAACTGATTTCCCTGGTAATATTATTTATTTTATGCATTTAAAAATAGTATTGTGAGAAAGTGGTCCATAGGCTTTACCAGGCTGCAAAAAGAGCTCATAAGGCAGAGAAAAAACTGGTAAGAACCTCTGCCCTACAATCCTGGAGTATGGTCCCAAGCATTCTCTTACAACCCAGAACCAGCTGCTAGTAGGCATATTATTTCTTGGAGTCAAACCACATTGCAGGCTGCAATTGCTAAACTAATTCATTCTTTAAGGGAGAAAACAGTGAGTGTCTTTCTCTTCCCAGGGATGAGGGGTTGGGATTGGTACGGATGTACATTTTTGAGATATGTAAACAAAACTAGTGGCCTTAAAGAGCTAAGCATACCTCCCAAAGTATCAACCCACTTTACTATCAGGAAGGGGTTTAAAGTCCTGGGGAGAATCTGATTTATCTCTTAAGTAATTCCCCTTTTGCATAATCCAGGCATCCCGTAAGCCTTTCCCAGGAGTTTCTGAGCATGTGTATGTTTTCCTGAGTATCCCTGTTCACTAACTGAGTGTGCCTCATTTGGGGTATCCAGGGTGTTGTCCCTTTAGAATATCTGCACTCATGGGACACACCAGTCATCTAAATAAGTCAATGCTTCTGTCAGTTAAAGTACTTTGTTGACTTCCAAGAGGTATCAGGTCAGCTACTGAGCAATTTCCTTCTTCAGGAGACATTCAGATATTATGCTGATATTTATAGTCACATAAAGAGAAAAAAGAACCCACAAATAGGACATGACAGCTGGTTGGGGATCCTGCCACCCAGGATACACAAACCTTTGGTACTCCTCATCCCACCCCCATCCGACTAAACCCAACATACACTAATAATCAACCCAAGATTAAAGAACAGAAGTATCCATTGTGAGAGAGAATGGAGGTCATACCTTGCGAAGTGATGTCAATACCTATGGAATTTCAATCTGAAATGAATCCACTCTGAACAAAGTTTTGATTTTAGGTCCTGTTTTTAAAATATTTTATTAGTTTGGGAAAAGAACATTCCATTAATGGAACTTTGACTAATAATCTACAAGGCCATAAACTCAACTTTTCCACCAACAGGTTAAATAAAAATGAGCATCAGGTACAAATCTGGTAACGAGTCATTTACACGATCAGCTCTGATTTCAGGGGAGAAGCAGCACATTCCGACTTTGAAAAACACAAACGACACAGAGAAACTGAAAGGAATTATTACCTTCTGATAATCAGTCTTTGTGAGCTCAAACCTTTGTTGTACAGCCTTTCTGATGAGGTCTAAAAAACACAGACACAAAGAACCATCAGAACAATGACAGTTATCAGTAAAAAGTCAGCAAAGAATTTATAAAAACCAATGTCTGCATTCTGAAATTAGGATCCTGAAAATTTTCATCTCACTTTTAATTTTTATGGGATATAAATAAGAACACTCATCACTGCCAACAATTATATAGCACTTTATAGTTTATTGTTAATACTCATAAAAAATAACTGACATTTACATAGGGCTTGAAAGATTTGCAAATTGCTATATATAATTCTCTCACTAGAAACTTCACAATAGCTCTGTGAGACAGATACTTACCACAGGACCCTGTGGACAAACTTGCTGTAAAATGAAGCTTCCATAACTTGTTTTCAGTCAATCAATAAGCATTTATTAAGCATCTACTATGGGTCATGCATGGTGCTAAGTACTGGAAAAGTTAAGCTTTTCATTTAAGGTAAAATGGAACAGCTTGCATTTATCAGACTTTGCAGAAAATATTTTCCCACCTATAAAAGTCAAATATATTTTTTTAGTTTTAGTTTTTTTCTTTTTTGACAAAGAGTATCTACATATTCCAATGTGCACGCAAAAGGCTTGCTGCCAGGGAAGGTGTATTAGCTATTTGACAAAGTGACAGCCTTAACTTTCCAATCTGAGCCCCCAAATTCAAGTACAACGGACTCCACTCTTTCGCAACTTCACTCCATTTCAAAGGCTCATTCATTCTTTCAAGTCTTTTTTTTTTTTTTTTTTTGGTGCAGACCTTGAAAAGCTTTGATGTGGTATATGTGTGGTGTGTCAAGTACTTCGACGGAAACATGAAGCTAGCTTGGGTTCAGTCTCCCTTATATATTTGGCACTGATAGGGAATGAAGCAGTCCACAGAAATAATTACCTTATGATACCCCCAACCTTGGTTAATTTTTTAAAATTTTAATAGTTTTCCTGGTTAAATACATAACATTGTGCCAGGCACTGAACCTAGCAAACAGCAGGTACTTAGTAAATGCTGATTGATTGACTGAGATGGGTAACACAGTGGGTTGAGCATTAGACTTGGAGTTAGGAAGACCTGAGTTCAAATCTTACCTCAGATACTTACTAGCCTGTGTGAACCTGGGCAAATCACTTAAGCTTGTCTCAGTCTCAGTTTCTCCATCGATAAAATGGAGATAACAATAGGATCTAACTCACAGAGCTGTTGTAAAGATCAAATGAGATAACATATATGAAGTGCTAGGACAAAGGATCTGACATAAACACAGATTAGAATAATACAGTGTAGGGGTTAAGAAAAAGATCCAGAAAAGTACTCTCAAAATCTGAGGAGAGAACACTTTTAGCTAGAAGGATCAGGTAAGATAGAGAAGATAGAGAAGACAGGCTAAGAGCCTGGAAGAGAAAGTCTCTGAAAGTTGAAGATGAATAGGTTTTGGAAGGGAGTTCTAAAAGGCATTTCACTTATTCATTCAACAAATATTTATGAAGTGCTCATGGTACGTACAGAGATCACTGTACTAGGTTAAGCTTACAGCTAAGCCACAGTCTGTGTTCTCATTGAGTTTAAAGACTATTAAACAGGAAAGTATAAATGGCTTTCATACATGACCTTTGTGACCTCTTTCTGTAGCTCAGAGACTATATTTTGTTTTTGCTTTTTTCAGGGCTTCTCAAGAGTGTTTCAAAAGGCCTGAGGGGGAGGAAGTCCTGACTCCTGATAAGTGGGGCTGCCACTCACCTGTCATTTCATTGTTGCAGAAACCTATACATCTTTAATAAGAAAAACAAACGCAATGCATGCAACTAAAATAAGCCCCAAGATCTTACATCAAGAGTCATAAGATGCTGCCAGGATTTCTCCTTGACTCCCTCCTCATCTCTCTTTAATAAATCATTAAGTGCACAGCTATCCCAACCCAACTCCCAATCCCTTAGTTTTATGTCACCAAATAATCAGACTTCCAAGGGAAAGATTCTCAGGTAAAATACAAATTTGGGTTTAAATCTTAGAAATGTACTCTGAAAGTTCATAATGCAAAGACTATCACTCTTTCTGTAGAACCCAGAATGCTTGGCAATAGCTCTTCTAATATTTTGGGAAATAATCACAGAGCTTTTAAAAACCTAAAACCAATTAGATCCTAAGGTCTGGGTGGCTCCCTCTTGATGCACATCAATAGCCCTATGCAATCAACTTTCAATTATCCACACTCTTAACGGCAGGGTGGTTCAGTGTTGTGAGCATAACATCATATTTTAATGTGGCTTTGAATTTGGGAACTCAGGGGAATCCAAGCTTTTGGAATTATCTACTATCTAATAATGCAGTCACAAACCTCAGGGCTATCAATCTTTGGGGAAGAAGGGGAGGGCTGAAGAGTTATTGTGAAGGATTTAAGAATACATATGCAAGGGGCAGTTAGGTGGCACAGTGGATAGAGCTCTGGCCTTAGAGTCAGGAGGACATGAGCTCAAATCCAGTCTCAGACACGACACTTACTAGCTGCGTGACCCTAGGCAAGTCACTTAACCCCAATTACCTCACCCAAAAAAAAAACCACATACAAACTAATAAATAAGCAAAAATCTAATATATACACATATGCATGGATACACATATATAGTGTATAGATACATTTTATACACACACATTCACACAATGAATAAAAGGAAAAGTGTTTAAGAGCTTACTCTGTGCTAAGAGCATGGTACTAAATGCTACAGACACAAAGAGAAGAAAAAATACAGTCCCTGCCTTCAAAAAGCTCATACTCTAATTTGGGGACAAAGCATATTTTTAAAAGTTCTACTGCAGAGCAGATAGAAGGGCCCAGGAATTCTTGGGTTATATAACAAACTTCATTAACAGTGTCAGGGGCCTACAAGGTACAGAGGCAAGGCATATGGCAAGGTTTAGAGGTTCAACAAATACCAGCCCTGGAATCAGGAAGACTTGAATCCAAATTTGGCCTCAGACTCTTACTAGCTGTGTGACCCTGAGAAAGTCACTTAACTTGTCTGTCTCAGTTTCTCCAATTATAAAATGGGGGTAATAATTAGACCTACTTCTTAAGGACCAAAAGAGATAATATTTGCAAAGCTCTTAGCACAGTGCCTGGTATATAACAGGTGTTTAATATATGTTTATTCCCGGGGACAGCTAGGTGGCACAGTGGATAGAGCACTGGCACTGTAGTCAGGAGGAACTGAGTTCAAATGCGGCCTCAGACCAAACACTTGACGCTTACTAGCTGTGTGACCCTGGTCAAGTCACTTAACCCCAATTACCTGGAAAAAAAAAAAGAAAAGCTTAGGGGCAGGTAGGTGGCGCAGTGGATAGAGCACCAGCCCTGGATTCAGGAGGACCTGAGCTCAAATCCAGCCTCAGACACATAACACTTAAACAAGCTGTGTGACCTTGGGCAAGTCACTTAACCCCATTGCCTAGCCCCCCCAAAAATAAATAAATAAATGTTTATTCCCTTCCTCCACTGCTCCTTAGAAGGCAGTAGAAAGGCAAATGGTGGTCCTCAATTTCATCAGAAGGCATGAAATTGTTGACTCTACCTCCTCTAAGTTCTATCTATGACTGGTCAAGCAGCCTGGTAATAATAAGCAGTGGAGGGCGTGCTGATTGGTGGTAGGTCTTCCCATCACTCATCTGTCCCACATGGGTTTTATGTACACATTACTATTTTTCATATGCATGTAAATGCTATTGTAATTAGTAAAATACAAGTTCCTTTTTAAAAGGTTGCTCCTTTCTCCATCCTCACTCATCCCTGTCACCTGAATGTGCAGTGAGTGATGTCATCACTGTATAAGTGTGGTCATAACTGTATAGATTTCCACACAGTAGTCCAAATGTGGTCTTCCCCTGCCCTCACCTCCAGGGAGCAAAGTTCCCTTGAGTCAAATACTGTAGAAAATAGAAACTATGAATTCATCCCAGATCTACACTCATTGACCTAGAAGGAATTAAGAAGGATATTATTACTCATCAGAAATGATGAGCAGGCAAATTTCAGAAAACCCTGGAAACATTTTACATGAACTGATGCTGAGTGAAGAAAACATTTGCAAAACTTCGAATGAATTATATTAAAAACACATACTATATATACTATATAATAGAGTCTCACTTATTACACACACACACACTATCACTTGCCACTTCCTGGGTCAAGTGATGACCCCTGATCATCATCCTGTCTCCTATGTTCCCTTCCTGGAAGACATTGCTTAACTATACATAAAACTTTTAATATTTAAAAATAGATTATCTCAGTTTCATGAGAGATGTCAACAACATATAAGCCTCCCCCTGTAAGGGTAGGAACGTGAGGGGCATATTCCCAGAATCTGCGGACAAAGTAAGAAAATCCCATCCCCTGTAAGAGGTTAACACAAATCTACTGAAATTGATGCTCAGCACATGCAGGAGAAATCTTCCTCCAAAGCAGTGGGCCCTGAGAGAAGATTCTTAATTTTATTTGTTGTTGGGAATGCCTCAGGTGTCTCCTAAATCTCAGTAAGGAGCTGCCAATCAAAATCTAAATTATGTAAGGTAAGCTATAGCTGGGGAAGTTTTGACAATATGACATATAAAGCAAATGGCAGATGAATGGCACAGTCTTCAAAAAACCGGCCAAAAAACCTAGTAAGGGAAAACAGAATAAGAATGTCACCAGTATAGCTACAGTAAGTTCAGAGCAAAGGCTGCAGCAATACTGAAGGCTGAGATCAACAAGGTTGCTTTCGAAATGAAAATGTAGCAATTTTGTAAAGAATATTATTCACTTTAATAGGTATACACAGATAATGCAGATAAGGACATTAGGCTCTCAGAGTTTGAGGAAAATTTCCCTTCAGGCCATCGAATTCCCTTTCCTTCGACTATATTCACCAAGCAACCTTTTAATATAAATCTGATCAGAACTATGCCCAAAGGTCAACCAAACTGTGCATACCCTTTGAACCAGCTCTACCACTACTAGGTCTGTAT